AGAACAATCAATTCTATCTTGGGAGAAGTACAGTCAGAATGTCACTCGGAAGAGAAGATGGCAAGACTTTGTTTCATGTACTTTGAACATGTTATCAGGAGGGACCAGTCCTTGGAAAGGGACCTCATGCTGGGTAAAACAGAGGGTCAGTGAAAAGGAGGAAGACCTCCCAGTGAGATGGATTGACACAGTGGTGGCAACAGTGGGTTTAAACCTAACAATTGTGAGGCTGACTCAGGACTTGGCAGTGCTTACTTCTGCTGTGCCTGGGGTCACTGTGAGCTTTCAGGGCACCTAATACTAGTATCTACATGTCGTCAAGCACAGATAGTGACCAATTGAATTTAAAAAATTAAAAACTTTATCAAATTCTGGGTTTTGTCATTGCCCAAATCTTGAAGCCTCCCTGCTGTTGCCCAAATAAGCCTCTTCTTGACTGCCTTCTTTCCCCTGATGGAAGGAGAGGTGAATAGACAGAGAGAAGGGCAAGAAGTTGGGTGGGAAGTTATTCAGGACTATTTCTGGAGAAGGAAGAAACAGGGTTGTGAAGTCAAGGCTCAGGAGTTTTCTGGGTGAAGGTTCCCCTTTGATCTTCCAGGAGAGTCAGCCTCATTTCCAGAGCTGCTTCCTGTACTGACCTTTTAGGAAGGCTCTCGTGGGGGATGGAAGAGAGCTAGAGAAGGGATAGAAGGGAAGGCTGCATGATGTTTGTTTGGGTTCAGCTGAGGGACCGAGGATAAGCAATATGGTGCAGGATCTTATACATAAGGTCTCCATGATGTGGCGCAGACTCGATAGTCACCAACAAGGAGCTGTGGTAGCGTAGTGGTTAAGAATCGGGCTGCTAAACTCAAGGTTGGCAGTTCAAAACTACCAGCTGTTCTGCAGGAGAAAGATGAAGCTTTCTGCTCCTGTAAAGATTTGCAGCCTTGGAAACCCTGTGCAGGGTCACTATGAGTCAGAACTGACTCCACAGTACTTAACAACAACAACAGGTCAACCAAACAACTGTCTAAATGGATTTTCTGCCCAGCGTACTGAATGGCAATCAGTTTAATCAAAATGATCAGAGCTGTTATAGTGAAAATAAAATATAAAATGTGTGATTTCCCCACTGTCCACCCAGTCTTTCATCTGAGAGTATGCAGTTTTAGAGAAACACATACCTGTCTGCCCGGTCTCCTTCATGAAACAGGTATCTGATTCAGACTTGGAGAAACTAATGAATGGACCCCAGTCTTTTCTCTGAAGAAGATCCCTCTCACTTGCTCAGAGACTGTCCACGGGTCAGTCTACCAGGCTCTGTGCTGAGCATGGGCAATGCAGTCCTGGCCCCTTGGGAGCAGATCTGGTACTAAGCCCTAAACAGCCCTCACTAATTCCCAAACTCCAGCTTTTACTTTTTGCCCGTCTGTGTATTACTGTTGCGGTTGTTTTCAGTGCTCTGTGGTATGTGATTTTTATGGAACTTCTTGATCCTTAAACATTGCCTGGGATCCCTAATGACTTCAGCTTTCCATAAGCCATGAAGAAAAAAGAATCAAACAATGAGATGTAATTTCAAGTGAGGAGCTGTAAGGAACTTAACTTTCCTTCTGGGGTCTTTGCTCCTTCTCAGGGGATGGTGTCATCTCTCCTTTGTTGGCAGCTTGACTGGGATGGGACCATGGGGATTCTCAGTGATTTCTGTTTCTCTTCTTTCAGTATTCAAGGAGAAGCCTAAGTATCCCCCCAGCAGAGCCCAGTCCTTGAGTTATGCCTTGGCCTCCACTGACGCTTCATACTTAGACTCCATCCTCCGGCTCTTCAAAAACCTCAACTTCGTGCTACTTGTCATCACCTATGGTAAGGTGCAGATGTGTCCAGGAGTGTACTTGAACTGGTAAGGTAAGATGAGATGCCCTGAAAGGTGTTGTTGTTGTTGTTAAGTGCTGTCAAGTCGGTTCTGACTCATAGTAACCCTGGATAGGGTTTCTAAGACTTTAAATCTTTGTGGGAGCGGAAAGTCTCATCTTTCTCCCACTGAGAGGTGTAAGAGCTCTAATTTATCTGTGCCTTACTTTTTCCAAATCCCATGTTGTTAAGTGCCATGGAATTGGTTTCAACTCATAGTGACCTTGTATAAGATTTCCAAGGAGCAGTGCCGCACCAGTAGTCCTCCACATGCCATATGTGCAGGTAAAGCTGTTAACCAGGGTTGACCAGAAGAACTATTTCTTTTCCTTTCATATTGTCTGGCCAATGCCCACTGATCTTTTGTGTCTCATCTCAGTATCACTTCTGTAAGCAGATGCACCGTCTCCTCTCTTATTGTGCTGTTCCTTGTATATCTTAAGACTTATCATTGAAAAATAATCCGTTTCTGTCTCCCACTAGAATGTGAAGTCCATGGACACGAATATGTCTTTTCATCTTTTTGGTTTCCTGGTAGTAGCTGGCCTGGAGTGGATACACTAGTAGTTGTTATTGAATGAACACATGTGTACAAATATGGATGCCTGAGTCTTTCTCCATGAGCCCCTCCTAAACCATCCTCTCACATCTTTTAACACTGACCCCCTTTTGACCTGAATACAAGACAAAATTATTCTTTTGTTTAATTTTCTTCATTTTTGGCAAGATAGAGTTGAATCCTTTTTTCTTTTTCTTTTTCTTAATTTGGAGGGTAAGAATAAGGTGTTAGAGTTAGGACTATACTAGGTATAGGCTAGGCCTCGGGTTTTGTATAGTGTTAGGGTTATGATTAGGACTAGGGTAAATGTTAGGGGTAGGGATTGGGTTAGGGTTAGGAGTAGGGATACAGTTAGGTTTATATTTATTTAGTTATTAAAATCCACTTGATTTTATTCTTAATTTGGAAGTTTTGTAACTATACTATTCCTTCTTTTTACTTTGTGGGGTTTTTGTTGTTGTTGTTGCAAACTGATGTCATCTTTAGTTCCCTATTTTCAGGTTGGTTTGTTTGCTCTTACAGGTTTGCTGTACTTTGAATACTTCTATATCTGAGTTGAGTTCTGAGTGACATTGTCTTGCATCTCAGGTTGTTGTTGGTTCTCTGTCCAAAGAACTCCCCTCAGTTTTTTGTAAGGTTGGTTTGGTTTTTACAAATTCTTTTAATTTCTGTTTATCTGGAAATGTTCTAATTTAGCTGTCATATTTAAAGAACAATTTTGCTAGGTGTATGGTTCTTGGTTGGAAATTTTTTCTTTCAGAGTTTTATATATGTCCTGGTGATTTTCTTTTGTGGTCTGTCCTGTTTAGAGTTCGTTCAGCTTCTTGAATG